AGTTCCAAGAGTTTAAATCTAACGTAAGTATTTTGAGCGTAAAATACGAACTACTTTCATCGATCGATATTGAAGTTTCGACGAAAATGGTAATTTCGAAAGTGCTCGAATTATTCGTTAAATCTCGAAATAATTGCGCAAACGGCGAAGCTAAAAGCGTTGTCCGAGTCATTCCGAATTGACCATGACACGAGTTGTTGATTCAAGGAGATCGAGTGAGATGCCTATAACCCCAATGCCAAAATTATCGAAACCGAATATTAGGATTTTTGTTGGATACATGTATATATTGTTTCTTCGTTAAATTTTATTTTAGTTTCACACTTCTGCGTTATATGAAAACAGTTTATTGATATTGATTAAGCAATCTGTTCGACTTCTATCTTATCTTCCGATGAATTATCGATATCTCGTTTAATTGAAAATTAAGTGATCGAAGGATATCCAAGTTTTTCTAAATATGCAGTAACCTTGCAGCAATCTTGATGACTTTGATCTTGGTACCTATAGGGAACATCGGAAACTAGATCAAGGAATTGCGTAATCTCGGATTGATCTCTTCTTTTAGCAAAACCGATTTTACTTTCTCTAACTACGATTTCTTTTCAAAGTTTTCCAATAATTCTTATCAAACTTTTTTTAATTCGTATCGTAATCTATTTGCTACTTTATTACAATCTGATCATGCATCATTATTGTCGCTTATTATCAGATACCTATTAAACGTCTGTAATTCTTCTATTACAATTTATAAAATTTTGTTAGAGATACTCGATCATTTTGTTATTTCACTGAAATCCAACTCCATATTATTATTATCACTTCTATATAATCTGTATCTTTTAAGATATCAAATTTCTCAAACTAACACTTTTTTTTTAAACCACAACTATTGTCATTCCACTACAAAGGATCCTCTTCCAAAGGACTTGATTTTTACTTGGTATTGTTAGTTTTTTCTTAAAAATCATATGGTGCTTTATAAATATACTTCAACCATGAAATGAATCGAATATCAATTCTCTTCCATATCAGTTCTCCATGTTTCGCGGCACCACGTTGGCCAAGAAGAGGTCCAGGGCGCAGAGTGAAAATAAGCATCGGCCCGATCGGCGTCGAATCATCGCCGATTCTAAAGATAAATTCCGCGATGCGGTGTACGTTTTCACAGGCCCGTACGTAGAAAATCCTCAGCGTGGATCTCTCTGTGTGCACACATCGATGGTGGTAGGGATACAACGTTCGGGAACGAGAAGGAGCAACAGGCAGAGAGAGAGAAAGAGAGAACCGCATCCTGGCGAAGCGACGTCATTTTCGTCTTTTACGATCGCGAGGAGAGAAGCCCGCGAGAAAAGGTGGGAGCCACGACGAACGGTTGTAGCCGAAGCTTTCAGCGGCCAGTCGAGACTTAGCCTGCGAGTCAGACGCATCCCAGACGACGAACGAACCTGAATACTTGCCCCGTGAGTAAGCATGTGCACTTTTTTCAGTCCGTACCACGTCCGATGCACAACGAGTTTTCGCCTTTCGACCTCGCGTTTCTTTCAGGACCTTTCCTGGATCCGCACGATCGTGACTCTAGTTCCCTCTAAAATCGTGTATATGGTGTGTGCTTGTGTGTGCGCCTTGTGTGAACGAGGAAAGTGATGTGTATAGGTACATGAAAGTGAAGGAAGAATTCGAATAGAGGCGGGTGATCTCGTAGATCGTGAGAGATTTCGTTTTTGCAGTTGAACCAAGTGACGTAAATGAAACTTGAATTGTCTTGGATCTTTCGTCTCTTTTTTGATTGGTAGACGCATTAAGTTGGTCGTTAAATTCTCGCAACTGGAAGGTATATCGAAATACGCCCGCATTCCACGAAGGCAAGTTTGAAAAGCGATCGGTTATTATGCAAATTTCGGCGCTCGTTTCGCAACGTGGTGGCCCGCGACTTGTTGTCACCCATCGTGCAGCCGCGGTGATATCAGAAATATCTGCGTGTGACTCATAAAAAATTTCAAGTATTCACGCGTAACCGCTGTGACAACATTGTCCCAGACTACCGATCTCCTTGGTGTACCGGGAGTAGACAGGAATTTCTAGCTACGAGATAGCAGATCGCGGTCACGATGTTGTTCCGGACGCTCGCTGATAACGAATTCTTGAAAGAACGAATGCACGCGTTGCTCTATATTATCTTTCTTTTTTAATATTCGGTGCAGAGGGTCGATGAAATCGTCAGAGCAATCGTGCGGTCCTAGAATAGATGGTTCATTACAAAATACATATTTCCTCTAACATCGGTTGGCATCGTGGCAACGATAGGTCGAAAATCACTAGCTCCGCAATTCGTTATATTTCTATGTTTTATTTTAATCGAATAAATTTATAAAAATATTCAATTTCTATTTCATGATCTAGGTCGTATTCTTTTACAGACAAATTTCTTATTTGCTCCAAAAGAGATGTAGAACAATCTTCATTCGTAACGTATGTGGATTGTGCAAAAAATTTCCAGATCAAGTGTCAGAAATCGTAGCGATAGTAGACTAAGGTAGGGAGGAAAATTTTCTTTCGAACGTAACAAGACACCGATCCGAATGGAGTAACGAAACTCGGCTATGCGTAACCCGAAAAGGTTCGACGGCAGGCGGCTAGCGACGATTCCACCCTCTCCTCTCGCGTGTAAAAATAACCCTCTCCTTTGATACAAGCTTCTTTACAATCCGGCAGCTCGGCTTATTTTTTATCCAAAGTTATTTCGATCGAGTGCTCCGTAACTTTCGGTAGGTCTGACTTCATCAAAGTCTATAATCCAAAACGAAAGTTATTATACTGTATTTTTTAAATTTCACATTTTGTTTTTGTGATTTTATTATCGATTTAGTATGATAAAAATGATGGTGTCATCGATTTAGGTTAGATATTTAAATTCCACAGAGTAAAGGAGAAGTGATGATGCGAAGAGGTTCATTTCTTCGGAGCATTGTGTCTAGAATTTCTGTTTCTTTGAACTGGTTGGAACTTTGTTTTCTCTCTCTCTCTTCTCTCTACATACCTTGCATCTCTGATTACCAGTAAGCCAGGAATCGTACATACTCGCTCATATAGATATGATACGAATGCAAGAATTCATGCAATGCTGTAGATCCAATACATCGAAGAACCAAACTTTATTCTCTTCTTTTTTAAATATCAAATTTTACTTTCAAATTTTAAAAACTAGAAAAAGAAAGATCGAAAAATGATGTTCCCTGCTAACGTCCTTGATTAAAATTTCACTATTGATCGGTTCAAAAAGAAAACACGATTCTAAAAACAATATTGGAAGAAGTGTCCCGAAGGAAACAACGTCTGGAATGTTTCCACGAAGAAAATTAACCCGTTCGTGGCTCTGTCCTCTTGGCCATATCGGTCTCTCCTGCTTCTCGCGATGCATCGGTTTGCTCGTGTAGCGAAACGAGCGCATAAAATGCGAAAGCATGCCCGCGAAGGATCTTCTCGTTTCGCCTCGGTTCGTCCTGCAGGATCGCATACCTGAATATCTGACGTCACGAGTGAGGAAGAAAGACGCCTCGGAGCAGCGAAGACGTTTGATTTTATATATACGGACACGGTACAGAGCCCGGGCCTTCTTGAGCAAGAACCTGCCTCTATAAATAGGATATCCGGTCGTTCGCTAATTATACTTCGATGCATGCTGTCCGCATAGCGAGAACTTGCACGAATTCTCTGTCGAATTGTGCGATTTCCTCGACAATTATCATTGCAATGTCTCTAAGGACAGGCGAGATATTAGAACGAAAAAAAAAAAAAAAAAAATGAAACAAATGGACGAAAAAAAGAAAAAGAAAAAAAGATGTCGAAGAAAAATGAAAAAGCATGACGATTAAAACGGATCGCGGTTAATTGCATTCGTAATTCGTCTCACGGTCAATGAAATCTGCGGCGCGATGAACGCGCGCGAACTCGACCGTTCTCCTTGAGAATCGATCGAGTTCCGCGGAACAGGGAGAAAATTAAAAAATACAATTTTGTCGATCGGAGATAAAGCGTGCATGGGAAGCAAAATGATGAATACGTATTCAAGAGCGCAAGTATGATAATAGTGACGCTCCGATAATGTTGTAGATACGTTTTTTTTCTCGTGAACGAGTGAACAAACCAAACCGCCACCATGGACGCGATCAAGAAGAAGATGCAGGGAATGAAGCTGGAGAAGGACAACGCGATGGATCGCGCGTTGCTCTGCGAACAGCAAGCTCGCGATGCGAATGCGCGAGCCGAAAAGGTAAATTTTCAACATTTTTATGTTATTAATGCAAAGAATTAAAGTTTATGAGGAATTGAGAATTTATAAGTGACTTGATATAATATAAAAATATCGTAAACATCTGTTTATCTCTCATATATAGTACGGAATAAAAATAGCGATGAATAATCGCGTTGTAATAAAAATGCGATATATGATTGCTAACCGCGTTCAAAAATTTTAATTATAGATTTGGAATTTTTTTGATGCCTATATTGTTAAATTGTTATAGTACAAATTTACGGATAAAATATTATTATTGTTTGTGGTAAATGAATTGTTCATATACAACATTTTTTTGTTTAATAAAGGCTGAAGAAGAGGCGCGTGCCTTGCAAAAAAAGATCCAGACCATTGAAAATGAACTCGATCAAACTCAGGAGGCTCTTATGCAGGTCAATGCCAAACTTGAGGAGAAAGACAAAGCGCTACAAAACGTAAGTTAATTGTATATATTCATTATTAAATAATTTAAATTTCAAATTATATTTAAGTATTTTTAATAATTAGAGTTTATTAATTTATATAATTAAAAAAAATTGAAAAATTGATCATTCATGATTTGATCAAAAATTGATCAAAAACATTTCAGTTAAAATAATAATTTCATTTGAAAAAATGTAAAAAAAAATAAACTCAACCGGTTTTTAAATTATAAACTCCAAGGTTTTCACAATTTTTATCAAACAATGTGCTGTTACCGACAGAGTAATGACGTTTAAGCGCCATAAGATGTCGCAGCAATCGTGCGCAAGCGCTTCACGAGGGATGAATAGATTCCTCGCGAAGTAAGCGCACAGTCGAGCGTTAGTACGCGAAGCTGCCGTTTCGTTTGTTCGGTGATTCTCGGCAAACTTCGGTTTCGTATTATAGTTGACGGGTAGTAGGGGTAACCTGAATCGAGCATAGAGCAATAGACGGAGAAAGAGAGAGAGAAAGCAAGATAGAAATCAGACCAGGACGGTGCAGAGAGCGGAGACCAGCGTGTCTCCTCTCGTGCATGCGTTCGCTTGTCAGGACTGTGTGTGTGTGTACAACACAAAGAAAGAGACAAAAAGACGTATGCGTGGCGCGGTGAGAAACGTGTTACGAACAGTGACAGACAAGATGGCGGTGTACTTTGTGCAGTGGTAGTAATAGTGGTGCGTAGAGCACATTAAAAAGAGTAGTGGAACGAAGGGGGTTAGTAAAGGGTTGGCAGCTGGTTAGTATGGAACCAGCTCTGACGTCGACCACGAGACGTCGCGGTCATCAACATCATCCGCGACACGCTACGCGCCGACGTCTCGACGCCTCCAGCAGAGGACCCGCGCAGTGTGGCCCTGCTGATATCGTTAAAGATACGGCGATCAGAAATAACGAAACATCAACAACTACAACGTCACCGAAGCTTGATGAAAAAAGCAATGTCATCGATACAGAATGTTCCACTGCGGTGACAGTGCCCACAATCGGCACGAGGTGGCTTCGTGATCCGACGGCCACGGTGTCCACGAAAGATGTAACATCGAATGAAGATTCAAATAAGATAAAATATAATCTCGAGCATGATAGAGAAGAAAACATCCGTCATAGGCTCGCGCAGTGTAGCCTGGATGTTCTTGACGAACGACACGAACAATTTGTTCGTAAAAGAAACGAAAATGAGAACTTTGATAGTTATAAAATGGAAGAAGTATTGGACAATTCTGAATTAAAACCACGTGGGAATGAAATATGCGAAAATAAATCTGACGAAGAAAAGAGAAAAAAAGAAAATTCGCCGGAGCCTGAGCACGCGGTCGCGAGGGCTCGCGGTGATGGAAACTCTGACGACGAATCAACTAATGTCGAGGAGGATCCTGAACTTGCTGAACTTGCCAAGTTGAGGTGTCCTAGTGAAAGAACCGAGGTACAAGCTGAAAGAGAAGCTAAAAGAAGAAAGAGATGCGCTGATTATCCTGGATTAGCTTTTGGATGGTCTATATTCTCCAGCGACACAATGATGAAATTCGGTCTCATAAGGAACGAATTGCAGAATATTATGGGAAACCAGCTAAAACGGGTCAGTATCGTATGATACAATGTTGACGTACCCGGTATGTAGATATGTGTAATTATGTGATGCAAAGTCACCGCATGATGTGACCTTGATGCGCTTTAACGTCGGTCAATGGGTTTTTGTGGGTCATTCGGTCATTGATAAGAGAACAAGTTAGTCACTTATCAAAATCTCGCTTTCTCTCTCAAATCATATACCGTCCATATTTTTATCTCTTTTGCGTTTTTTGACTTACACAACGTTTTGTCGAACGAGGTAATCTTCATGAATTCGATACCTTATATGGTGGAGAACGAGTTAAAAATACGTACGCAGTTAGGTTAGGTGATCTAGTGGTTACCCACGGTGACGTTACAGACCATTTAATCGTTGCTCGAATAGGTTTACGAAATAACAGACAGCTCATATTACTCTTTCTGTTTTAATTATACGCTCTTTTCTACTGTTCATCCTGGAAAATAATCGGACCGCCGCGAATACTGATTAGAGAAAGGCCGATTAAAACATCGGAATTTCTGTCGTTGCCAAGTGGAAATCGAAATCAGTTCACATTATCGTGCGTTAAATGAATAATGTATTGCTATTTATGACGGTCATATAATAATACTTAAAAGATTATTAACAGCGAGACTTCTTACGGGCCTTAACGATGCTCGATCGTCCGACAAAGAATACTTATTGTATAAGGTTACTGAACGAAGACAATGGGTTAAACGTGATTCCAACTGGTACGATAAATGGCATTCTTATTTAGCCGACACCAAACAACCAATGCAGTTAGTGCGAATTCTTAAATTATTTACAATCATGTCAACGTGCATTGCGATATGATGTTTTCATCAACTCATTTTTAGTATAACCCCCACCTTTCGTTTAAATATGACAGGTATATGACAGGTATAACAATGAATGCCATGCTGCCAAATTTGGAAGTTCACTGATTGTACATTATATTTCAGAAATAAGTTAACCTAGTAACAAAAAAAAATTTGCTGTAAAAATTTTTTAGATTCATAATTCATATAATTTCATTCTTCTTTTTCTTTGATAATTAAAAATCTAAAAATGATTATCCAAATAAAAAATTATTTTCATACATAAATACAAAATATTTTTGCAAATCATTTTCAAAAACGAATCCCACCCTGCACTCGTAATATGTTAAATATGAATAGTATTCGTCAACATTCTAAAAATACATAGCTGTTGGTATACGAATCCAGTAGCTCTTTTATTCGACACTTCGAGAGAGCATTGCGTAAGCATTGCTTCCGGAATGCGTTCTTACAAATCTATTTCGTTATAAGCATTTATAAACCGGTGACAAAACAGAAAGTTGCAAAATATTCGTAACATATTGCACGGAAATTTGGAGTATATTCTGCGATTCATTGTCGACCTTTGAAACAAGATCCGTTTCTTTACTGCTTATCTTAGTCAATGTTTACACGTCACATTTTCTACGTTTTCACATCGATCAATGTGCTGCCATCTATGCTTGTATTGTTCGCATAATTCTTGTGGATGAGTAAAATTCAAATTTGATTGATTATTTTTAATTCGATATTAATGCGAATTTGCATAATGTTTAAATTCAAATAAAATAATCGAATATTAAATAGATTACATATTAATTCTTTAAAAATGCATTTCAAACTTTATTTATATTGCAATCATATTTTAATATTTTATATTTATATTTTTTTTAATTTTTTTGTATTTTTATTTATAGAATATTTGATTTATTTTTTACATTTATATGTAAAATATGAATTTAAAATATGAACGATTCGATAGTAATAATTATATTTTAACATAATTTTGTTACACATATTAATAATTAAAATTAAAAATAATAAATAAATAGTAAGGAACTTTATAAAATTCATAATCTTGATTAAAATTGCATTGTAAATTAAATTGATTTTTTTTAAAACTATATTTTCGAATCAAACAATTGCAATATATTTTAAAAAATATTAAATTAATGAATATATAATTTATTTCTTACACCATTTGTAATTATGCTTAAATATCATAATGAAATATACATATTTTAGCTAAAATTTAAATTATTATTTAATTCAATTTTTGTATAATCATGTCATTATTAAATTCCTTTTGAAACTTATAATAAAGTATAATTTATTATTAGGAATCATATAACCGTTGTACTATTGATCTTTATTATTATTTAAATTTGCAAGTCACTCATTCATCCTATCTACTTTTAGTCATAAAATCTAAACCGACAATTATTGAAAACGATCATTCTATTGAAAAAAGATCATTTTGATACTGAAATTATCATTGATGCGTAAAATAAACGTGCATTGCCCCTCATTATAAATGAAAAAGTAGAAGAAATGAAACAACGCAGGAATTGTTGTCGACCGTCCATTCGAACGGTTGGGCGCGCTCGGGACGGGCGCGGTATTTCCGGGGCTCTGCGCGCGACGACACGTCGATCGGCGTAGCGATACTCGGCGTGCGCATCACGCTTCGTGACACGGTCATGAAAAGAAAAAAAGAATGATTATCAATGAACTAAATATTTTTAACAATAAACATGATTGAATACAAAGCATTTGAATAATAATATCAATTGCGACTTGGTTAAATGGAAATTTTTTATCAAATATTTTGAAACAGGCGTCGTTAAGGGCAAGGGACTATTTGACGTCCGCACCATATTAGCGCGCATGCGCGTCCTGACCGGGGGCAGCCATCTTGCTTTCCAGTCAACAGCAGCCAGTGGTCGTCAGTGTACGACAGCTCGAAGGCTACGAAACTCTCTTTCGTACGGGTACCGGTCGTTTCTCGTACCCTGACATACTTGGTCTTCGTACGTCGTATTCACCGGCTATCTTAGATTCTTGACTTTTTATTTACAGTACGAATATTACCTCGATTCATACACGAGATTCGTAATCGCGACGTTTATAAGTGAGAAAACGCTAACACGCGCGAATATTCAGCAGCATGTCGACGCAAGTGCAGGGCACCCTTCTCGACGTGCTCAAGAAGAAAATGAGGCAGACTAAGGAGGAAATGGAAAAGTACAAGGACGAGTGCGAGGAGTATCAGAAGCGGCTGCAGGTGGAAGTGATACGCCGCGAGGAAGTGAGTGAAAAAATTACCTCATGACCGTATCTCTTCCAGTTCCATTATACACGAATTAGCTCGATTGATATATTTTAGTTGAAGATATGTTTCAAATTTTTCTTTCATTTCACTTATTTCCATAGCATAACCTATGCGATATCCTACAAGTCCATTGATTGTTATATGACGCTTGAATAGGGACATGAATTGAGTATAAGACAGGAAGGAAGAAATTCAGTGAGTTTTGTTGATTTGGATACTTAGTATATATTCATGTGAAATGCACCGATTCTAAATACGATTGATTCGTCTCGTGATCGACTCGTTCTGCGATTAATTTCATTGTGGATTCGTACTATATGATTCGCGGCGTGTCTTTACCGGAAATATGGTGCTCAACTTCATGGTATTCGTTTGGAAAAGTATCGATCGGTTCGCTTCAGAGAAATTTTTATCAAGGATAATGGATAAAGTTAATAGACATCACATCTGATATATTAATTTAAAAATATAGAACATCAATCGTCCCCGACTTTCGATAAAAATTCTTTTCTTTTTTACACACAAAATGCCAGAGCCGGCATCCACACAGCTATAGAATCGATCGTGAGTGTCAGGCACGTCGTCGTCAGGCTGGGTTGTGCCTCTGGAGAGGGCAGTCAGGGGGTATAGAAGGGATACCGACTCGACTCACACTCGAGACATTCTTGATACAATGAGAGGACTCACTTGAAAACTTATTTCTTCTATCCTTGAGCCTTTAATAAATAATTCTATACTTCGAAAAACACAGTTATTTATCAAGAATTAATAATGCGCTAAACCGTTAACCGCTTAATTCTTAACCGATCGCATTACTCATTTTCAAGCTGATCTATCCATATCATTCATATGAAAGCATGCGGGATTATCGGTCGATTTTTATGTATATGATCATACGATTATACAACGATTTGTATACGCAAAGTTGTTTCTGTAGTATTACTTCCACAACATAAGTTTTTTAGGATTTGCATTAATTATATGTCAAGTAAAAAAATTTTAATTATGTTTTTTAATTATTTCTTTATGAATTAAAAATATGAAAAATTGAATAAATATATATAATAGTTTGTTTAAAAAATATTTTATACAAACTTCATAAATATAAGTATGCAATTTGTACATTTATAAAAGAAAGATCGATGAAGAGCGAGGGTGTAGTCTAGGTGTAAGCGTTCATCAGCCTCGATTTAACGGATTTACACCACAATCTTGTTTTTGCTCTTTTCTTTTTTGCTGGCAGACTGGTGAAACATAATATGCATAGCTTGAAGTGAAGATAGTCGCTGGAAATATTTTAGTATATAAAATATTTAAATATTACGAATAATCTGTATCATTTAAATTATTTAAATACAATCGCTTTAATCTTTTATTTTTTTTCTGTGTTTATGATTTTAAATTTCTCTCTGAAAGTCAAATTTCAATCTGTACGAGTTATCTGTTATTTTTTTTTTTTTCGATCATTACAATGCTTCTAATAATCGATTTCATGATCAAGATTCAAGAATCTATTAAATGAGTGACTTGTTGAAATTTCAAACTTGAACACTGGTACAAGAAATTCGTATTCAATTCTATCTAACGCATGCTTACGCATCAAAAACCATTGTTTGTCTTTTTTTGTAGTAAGAAGACATTACTGACATTTCTATATATATGTATATAACTATATATCTGTCTCATATTATTTATCCAGATGACATTTAAAATCACCTACGCTGAAGGTCGAATGTTTTATTTTCTTACGGAGACCTTTTCACCCCTTGTGAAGGAAACCTATCATAGATTTTAATATTCTGTTCTTTCATGGTGACTAATTTTGGCAAAATTATTGATGAAAGAAGTAATCAAATCATTATCTTTTTTTTCGTAAAATAGAAATATATAGAATGTCTAAGAATGCTCCTCAATATTAAAAAAGTATTTTAGGAAAAAATTATCTTTATTTTATCATATTATATTTATTGTTTATTTTTTGAAATTTCATTTCAATCCACTAATAAATAATCTCTAATAAATAATATTATAATAATATTAAATAGATCACATATTAATTATAGATCTATTAAAAAATTTTCATTATTTTATATAAAAAATTACAATTTGTTCATTTTTAATTTATAACGTTATTTTAGTATAAGTTATAATCAAATTATTAATTTTTTTGTTACCAATGTTATTACAGAAAGATCATTTATTTTAAAAATATAAAGAGTCAACACAATATACATCTTTCAATTCATTCTACTAAACAATTATCAAATTTTTACTCTCATAAATCAGTAACAATTACAAGTAACCATTTACGGTAACAAAGGCTATTTTCCTTGCCGATTATACTTCGTAGATTAACCTTGGATAGTCTCCGAAAAATGTCAATGTATGTATTTCCAGTGACGTTGCTCGCTTTCTGCCGCTGACGTGTCGCCGTCCTAAAAGGCCAACGAATAGAAGCTCGGTGAAGCTTCACTAACAAGCTTTTGTCATTGAGCAATGAAGTGCACTGCCGTGTATGCAGCTCCCCCGTTCATTTTTCTTCCTTTTCTCTTCTTCTTCTTCTTCTTCATTCTCTTGTCTAATAAAAACTAGATAACCAGCGCCCGCCACATTGTGAAGATTTATCTCGTGGTATAATACCGCGGGTTCGGTTCATTGATTTATCCGACATCGACAGATTTAGCGCGTATCGTGAAAGTGATATTACGTACGAGCTATACGACAGCACGTGGCGTCTCTTTTATTGAGAAGTTTATATAATCGAACCTTGATTGTCCTCATCCTAGGAATAGATTTATTAATAAACAAATAAACATCGATGTATCATCTATCTTGTGTACTCCATATGATGTAATGTGATTTTTATTGATTTTAACATATTACAAATTAATCGATCGATAATATCTTTTTGATTTACTTCGAGAGGAATGTTTTTAGAAAAAATTAATGTACGATGTTTCTTCATTTCTGAATCCGATCCAATGTTTTCTCATTTTTGAAAAAAAGCGATTTTGCAAATTAATTGAATAATACCGTTACTCCGTTTGAAATTCGCATTAGATTATTTAGAATTATTTAGAATTCCCGTTGTAATGTTAAAGCTATAATAATTTTACATCTTAAATCAGTTTTTTTTTTAAAGTATTTAGAAAATAATGTCTAATTGCTATTAAAGATGAAATATTAATAGGAATAAGTACGATATAATAGCTTTTAAGAATTAAAAGTAATTTTTCTTTTCAACGATTATAAGAAAGTAGAAAAATAAAATTATTTCACTTAATTTCTTAAAGTATTGTTAATTTAAATGAATTCATTTAAATAACATGTAAACACAGTAGTAGAATCGTGTCGAATTAACAGAACGTAATGGAAGTAACGGAGGGTGATCATTGGCGGAAGTTTGGCACACTTACCAACATTACCTACGATCGACGAGACCTGTTCGGCTGTGCCAGTGTGCGTGGGCGTGTCGGTTTCCTAACGCAGAATCATAGATGCACAGCTTGATAGAATCGATCGATCGGTCTATGACGGAAATAAGCGGGACCGGAAGTGGCTCGTGCGCCAGGTTAAAATATTACACCGTGACGGATTATTCCGGTCGGTAATTTAACCGACTATATGGTCTGGATACGAATTATAACATTGTACGAACAGGCATAGGCGTAACCTCCGGTTTATATGAATCATTTTAAATAGAACGAATAATGATATCAATGAAGTTCATGATAATATAACTTTCGAGTTTGTTTACACTTTCAAAATTGAATGATGTAAAGCAATATTATTATAAAAAAAAATAAGAATAAAATATAAATTACATTAATGAAAAAGTAAAGTACATTGCCTTAATTTATGTTGATATAATTTAATAGTTTTCAATTGTTATTAAGTCGTTAATTTAAAACAATATTATAAAATGTTATAAATTATATACATAATTGCTTGAACAACAAAACAAATTACATTAAAGGCAATGTTACTTATCTGAATGAGAATTTTTATCATCTAATCAAGAAATCAAGAAATAGAATCAATCAGTGAACTCCAATTATACAAATTATTTGTCTTTCATCATCGACTTCAAAATTGGCTATTTTTTCGCATATTGCACAAATGAAAGCAATGTGTATTAATGTGTATTAATCAATTCTGCGTAAGATAAGATAACCAGAATCTACTAAAGGTGTTCTCGTTATCGTTGTTTTCGTTCAATTTCTATGCGTCATCGGTCAAGGAGGAGTGTCGAATCGGTCCGGATGCGAAATGTTGGTGGTGTATGATCGAAGAGTGGCACGTGCATGAAAGCGCGGGCAATGCCTGATTCACGCACGTTGAATTAGGATTTATCCGCTCGACGTACAATCGACGCAGGTGCAGCCGCAAACGAGGACAAGGGCCTCGAATTGCGTAGAGACGAATACACACGTAATCAAGCGTTAAGCAATTTACATTTGTAAGGGCGAGCATGGTTCGCTTCGTTTGACATAAAACGATGAGACTATCTTTTGAATGGGTTACAATTTCGAGTCTTAATTGGGGAATGTTTTAATTATCTCCTGTATTATAATGAAGTTTATTATGAATAGACTAATTTAAACTCGTAATTCTTAAGAATGTAATTTCCTTTAAAAATTATTTATTTATTATGAGTGTGAGTCATAATATTTATCGGTAAAGATACGATATCAGAAGTAGCTGATTAAGAAATAAATATTGATAAATTTTTTTACAATAAGTCTATATACGTTATAAATAGATAATATCTACGAATTTCATCTATTATAATACATAAAATTCTTTTATATAATAATTCAATAAGAAAATATTTTAAAATAAATATATACTATTATTGATATACAAAATAACGATGCTAATTTCATAGAAAATTATTCTAAATAGAAATTTGACTAATATCTCTGTGGAAAATCTCTAAAAAACAATGATTTCTCTACTGAAAATCACATCATGAAATAAAATAGGAATTAATATAAATATAATTATTCGAAATCGAGTTTTATGTCAGATATTTAATTCGTGTTAAGTTATTTTTTAAATTAAATTTTGTTTATTTTATGATCAAATGCTTTTCTATGAGACAATCGTTCCATTTCTAAAGAGGAATACGAGGTTACTCGCGTGCAAATGCACGTGGATGCTGCGAAAAACATCCATTCAATTAAATCAATTGTAGCTATGAGCACGAGCTCTAAAGGAAGGAAACTAGGGTCATTGATATGCGAACGGAGTAAAGACCTTGGCGATCTCACGACTGATTCGTTCCTAATTGCGAATCCTAATCACGTGTTATGTGATCGTGATCGGTAAATTTTTATTTTTTTTTTTTTCCTTAAAATAATTTTTCCTTTTTATATATATATTATTTTTCATTTCGTTTATTCTTTTTCTTTCGTTTAAAATGGAAGGATAAAGAAGTTGAAAAAATCTGTATCGAGTTAAAAATAATCGATGCAATCGTTGCCAATCAACGACGATAACTTATCTAAAGTTTAATCTTAACTTTGTTCGTTTACATTACGTTAATGAATTTATTACAACCTTGTAACTCACCAGTTAAAAAATTGGAACGATAACTATTGTTTTTACAACTATAAAGAGGAAGTGTATAATGAGGATGTGTCATTCATAAAGTCAAAGCCTTTCACTATCATAATTTTTATCAATGTAAATGTCCGTTTTTAAATGTCATGGTATCGCTTAAAATATACATGAATAACAACAAATATTTTTTATCTATTTTTCAAAATAAAAACAAAAAGAAAAAAGATAAAGAAACATGAATTTTAAAAATCAAATATTATTTAAAAGATCTTTGATCTAAAAATATTTTTTTCTTTTTTTATAGGCTGAGTCCGAAGTAGCCGCTCTGAATCGTCGTATCCAATTGTTGGAGGAGGACCTCGAGAGATCGGAGGAACGCCTTGCAACGGCCACTGCTAAATTGGCAGAGGCGTCGCAAGCAGCGGATGAGAGCGAACGGTAAACGAATTCCACATTTCTATAGTTTCTCCGCAATAATACTTGGAGCACGTACGACCACGTAAATCTTATAAATATCCGTTCGTTGACGTATCTTTTTTGCTACGCACATCGATGGATATTTATAAAAAGATTTATAAAAAGAAATCATTCAGTGACTATATAACTCAATGGACAGATAATAACAACCTTTTTTTCGATTTTTATTCGATATTTATGAGATTGGTGTTGAATTTGTTAATGAAATTGTTGAAAGTTATAGTCTTATTAGAAAGTATAATGAAGAAAATGGAATTTTTATAATGGGATATTATTGTCTATCCTCTATGAGATTATGAGAATTTAACGTGATGGCTGAAGATATTTAATTCTTCACAATATCTACTATTACATTCTATATATTTTATAAGTATTGGAATAACATAAAATTCCTGAATGTGAAAATTGAAATAAAATAAATATATTATTAGCTAATACGTTGAATTTTCTATTGAAATTATTGTAAAGGAAATTGAATTTATTTGATTTATAAAATATTATTAATTTTGTTGTGAGAAAATTTCAATTAAAATAATTTTTTAGAATCTAATAAAATAATGTTTAACTATTCAGAAAAATTAAATTATATCTCTTGTTTAAATGAAAATAATTTTTAAATTTTTGCTCAAATAAGTAAATTCTAATTTTAACCAAATTACTATTACAATAATTTCAAAAATAAATCACTCCAAATGAAATATGAAAGACGTCGTACAATACTCCAAAAAGAAACCAAATCTGTACGTTTAAAGAAATCGAAACGAAAGAGCCGACAATACACTCTCGAATGATCTTATGTTCTCTATCTATCTATAAATAATCGCACAATACTGTATTGTAATGTTTCGCGGTTAATACCGCGCCGAATATAGATCTTGAAATAGGTTATATTTATATGATAATGGAACCCGCGCCCAGACATGAATTACACACTGCATATCCAAGGTTACTTGCGAACTAGCAATTACACTGATTTTATGAACCGTGCATTTTCATTAGCTCGCGTAAAGTGGTTAATTATCGATAGACCTGTTTCAGAATATGATGCAATTACATATTACGCGAGCGTTAAATTTAATTATCACTTGATCATTTGATTACAGAAATGTGGAACATTTTGTTTCTCACATTTATATATTTCAATTCAATCTGATCGAGAAACGTCAACGTCAATGCTCTTTCATTTTCGAATTTCGATCGACGTAGAAGATATTATTTATCGATAGGATAAAATTTTTCGACGTTGAAAGAACTTCGAGATTATTTCTTCACTAGAATTTTTTTATCTTATTGATCGATTTAAATCCCGATTGTTCTTAAAATCGATAAAAATTATTGAAATCGTGATTCTGAAGTTTCAGAAAAACAGATTAATTCATAATCGATTTAATACATATATATAAAATATTATGGATATTGATAACACATCAGATGACTTTCTTGATTGCTTATCTCGGGAAAAAAAGATTGATAAAAGATTGATAAACATCGGAGGATTCGCAAATCTTATAAGAATCGTCAAGAACGATATTTTATCATCGCTTTTGCGACTTGAAGTAAATTCTTTACGCGAGTTCTTTATCTGAAAAACGATGTGGATAAAATTATTTTCTTGGAAATAACGTTTATTTATAATTTTTAAAAATATCTATAGATAATAAATGCTTGAAAAATTATATCGTAGCTTAAATAAAAAAAATGATTTTTAATTTTATATTTAAATACTTATACATGTTGAAAAATTAGAAGATAGTTGTTCGCGACCGTAAAAAAAGAAATTTTCGATATGTCGATGATTTTTCTTTCAACGGCGACCAAATCGGTGCTAAAAGTCGAATGATAATCGATCGCTAGGATACGCAAGGCACTCGAAAACCGTACCAATATGGAAGATGACCGGGTATCCCTGTTGGAGCAGCAGCTAGCACAGGCTAAACTGATCGCCGAGGAGGCGGATAAAAAATACGAGGAGGTGGGTCACGTACCAGCGAACAAAAAGACAATATTTTCGCGGCAATCGTTTGGGAGCGAATTCTGTATTCATTCTGACGAACCGAGATTCACTTTATAAATTTTAAACGTTATCGATGTTTAATCGATTTCAAGAATTTCAATGTAGTTTATTGAAATTTATTTGTATTTTTATAACGTAAATCAAATTTAAATTTTGAGACTTTGGCTAATTTTTTTTTCCAATACTCTTTTAATAAAAGTTTCAATTAAATATTTTAAAAGAAAGTTTAAATTAAAATTGATAGGAAGAATTATGTATATTAATTTAACTCAATGAATTTAAAATCAATCACAGGACAGAAAATAACTTGTTTAACAGGTTTTCGTTGCAAAATATCGAAATAAGAATTACGAAATAAAATTATATCACGCTTTTCGAGGTAATAAAAGTTGTATGGAGAAAACGAAGGCTCGTCAAAATAAATCATCGAATTTGCTCCCACAGGTGCATCTTTTCAGGTAGTAATTCAAGCAGGTAGCTGGAGAGCAGTGCCGTAACCAGTCAACACGAAATCTCATATCTCTGAACGAGACAACGATCGATAATTAAAAAAAAAAATTTTCCTTCCAGCGATATTTCCATTCGTAATGTATGTTAATCCCGATTCTTTGTGATAATTATTAAAGAGCCCGCAAGATTCTCGAGAATCGCAGCTTGGCCGATGAAGAGCGCATGGATGCCCTCGAAAATCAGCTGAAGGAGGCCAGGTTCCTTGCTGAAGAAGCTGACAAGAAATACGATGAGGTTCGCGAGCCCACGACTGACAAGCGTGATGGCTTCAGTGACAATGATCATGATAAAAATAATGATGATAATAATAATGATGATGATGATGGTTCCTAGTTAATAGTCGAGATAATAGTGCCTAACCCCATAACTCTTTGTCTTCTCTTTGTGTGTTCGAAATCACCGTGGCTGTAAAATATGAAAAAAGAATCTACTCAAACGTATTAATCGATATAAAGTAAACGCGATATTCGTCCTCGATAATTTAATCTAATCGATATACGTATTTCGATTTTTTCTTGAATCGTTCGAATATATTGTTTCCAGAAAAATATTTCGATCAGAATAAAATTTTATCGATAGTAAAATTCGTAATAAACTACGAAACAAAACGGGGTTGGATGTCTTAATTTGCTGAAAGTGATTTAACGTAAACAAAAAACAAAAAAAAAAAAAAAGAAAAAAGAAAAAAAAGAAAGTAAAGAACGGAAGGAATAAATGATTATTGATCGTCTGTGATTTTGTCATGTAAGTGAAATACGATCAATCGTATAAGAAGTGCAGTGTTTGAATAAAATAATTTTTTTCGGGAATAATAAAAGAAAGAAAAAAGAATAAGATGAATAGTGATACATGTATATGAATAATATCAGTGTCAGGTGTTTTGAGCGCGATTTAATATTAAAACCGCTGTATATCTGTGATTTCCAAGTGTTGAAACCAAAAGAAAAAAGGGAAAAAACGAAAAAAAAAAAAAGTTTCAAGTGCCAGTTTCGTAAATAAATGAATAAAAATTTAGTTTGCATATAAAAAAATCATCATCTCTCGGTTGTACACGGAAAATTTGATGAATATCGATAGATCCGCGCGTTCTGTTCGTTTAATCCGGAAAATGGTTCCGCAAAATATGATTGATGCGTTCTGTGTTGTGATACGAATAAGACCATATGTTTCTCGGTCTCCTACGCGATTAAAATGGTGCTGCTTTTGTCCAAAGACTCCCCATTTTCGTTTTTCGTGGAATTCGGAACGTAGCTCAGAAATATCCCAATTGCAAAATCCATCTGTTATGGTAGGTGTTGCGTGACGACGTCGAAGTTACAAAGATTATTAAATATTTTAATATTATAATTTATTTTATATAATTTTTTTTTCTTCTTTTTTATAGATAGTGTCTCTTGTATTATAATATTTTACATATATTTTTTACGAAATTTTGAATAAATTTTCATACTATAAGATTTGGTCTTGCATAATAAAATTATAATAATTCACGAAACGAAATTTTCTAATACGGTTGAAAAAATAGTTTGATAAACACAAACGAACACAAAGTGTATAATACACTTGCTAGCATTAGACGATCAAAAAAAAGAAAGTTCCATTACAACGCCAGATCATTTATTTCACGATGTATTCAAATGGAAAGAATCTTGCGCAACGAATAATGGATAGTTTTTACGAAATCCATATCGTCGATGGTTCTCCAGCACAAATTTATTTAAATTAAAACCGCATCGTTGTAACTTCAACGCGTCGATATCCTCTCCCAATAACAAAATCACATTATTTTTCTTAAAATGTTGGATTAATAAGTATCGAAACTAATCAAGTTTTGCAATATTAGTTTCTTAATGTTTGCAGTGATATCTTATTATTACAGTGGAATCTTAAACGCTTGCCCCTTCTAACTGCATAACAATTATTGCAGACGGAGTGACAGAGAGGCGAATTCTAACCAACGATTTTTATTTATTTTTTGATTTTAACCATATATAATAATTGCTTATCATTGATTGGCCCTCTGTCCCTAGGATTTGCGAACGTTACGTAAACTTTCATTAAGTGGTAAATTTGATGTGATTACGTCATACTGATAACGAATGATTAACTCAAAATAAATTTCCTTCGAGATTTCGCGAATTCTAATCCTTATTTCAATATTTCAATTAGATATAGTCATTTTAGTTCTATTTAACAATTATTTCACACCAAACATACATTGTCTTGATTAGTTTTAGAAAATTTTCACGATATTTTTTTTAAAATTTCGATAATTAATGCGTATAAGTTTGTAGAAAAATGGTACAAATTTATCGTACAAATTGAATTTTCAAATCTTTGAACACTTATAGTAATATATCTTAATTTTATTACGATCATTAAATTTTTACGTTCACTCTCGATCTTTTTCAAAAAAGAAATAAAAGAACTTCAGAAATCTATTATCGATAGATTAGAAAACCACGATTCAAGGAATTTTTTTTCTTAAATCAAAAATTCTCATGCCTATACTATTTTCCTTCAAGATTCTCATATGTAAAAAAAAAAAAAAAAAAACAAGAATCCACAGAGAACGATCGAACGATTCACGTGGATAAACACTTCTTCGAGGGTTTGCGTCACATTCGCAAAGTTGCATGCGTGAAACGAAAGGTCGTCGGTGGACAAACGAAAGGGACATTCCATCGAGCTATGAACGGTTTTATTCCATCATATTCATATAAATTCTCCTTCGTTTTCCACCGTGACCTCGCTGTCGCCGCGTGTTGTAGGAGTATTTCCATTCATTCGTGCCAATCTCTCTAAAAACGAAGCACAGAAATCTCTTCTCCCGCTTCGTTTCTTATCTATTCGCTTCTCTCCTCTTTGCGAGATGCGTTCTACATCTGGAAGAGGGTCCCCCGATAAAGATTACCCGAACGTGTTCCAGCCGGATCGAGACACGAATACGATATTATCTAGAATTTTGTTTTAAATTCAAAACCTCTTTGTGCTGTCGCGACTTCGTGCACGTTGTCGCAAAGTTAAACGTATTTTAAATTATTCGTTTCTCCTCGAGCGGACGAATGAAATGGTTCGAGACACGTTTCACGGTTAGTGTTTCACTGGTTCAATATTTGCGATTCCATCACGAATAGGATTCGCAAGAACGCGGAATACTATTAACCCCTTAACCAAGTGAGACGAGTTGGCGAACTGCTGCTGAAATATTTGCAAACGAATAGGAAGATGATTAAGAGATTCCATCTTTTGACTCGATTCGTTCCAGTTGGTCAAGGATAGACGATTGGCATTCCGCGAGAAGACACTAAAAAAAACGTATAGAATTGTGCCAAAATTGAAAACAAAGAAAAAACGGAATATCTTGTTTGATGGTGGAACGAGAAAAAAAGTTTGGACCGGAATTGGTTCATGATGCAAATGAAAATAATCTTTTTGGAACGATCAGATATATTTTGGATATATTCCTAAATTAATTGGAAACTATAGCTTACATATTTTTATACACTTCAATTTTATCTTTATTGTTTATTATTATAGTTACCAATCAATATATTTAAACAACAATTGTTCCATTTAATATAATTATCTTTAAAGCAGCAGCTAATATTAATTGTAGATATAATAATTAATGAAACAAAATTCTTCGAATAATAGTATATAAAAAATTCTATATTAAATCCAACTCAAAATTGAAAGAGAAAAAAAAACTGTATATTATCCATTAGTGTAATTTTAAACAAACTTTTTATATTCCATTAAATTTTGGAAATCAATCAAGCAATATCGATCGATCAACCATCAAACAATTCCACTCATCCGGATCGCATTTATCTTTAGAAATTCGCCACGTTCAAGGGTAATGTTGTAAGAAAACCAGACTTAACCGAATCGATCGAACACAAGTTAGACACAAAAGGAGCTGGAACTCTTCCAGTTCGTAGACCGACATCGAGCCGGTCCGGAATCGCGTTGATCTCGACTGTGAGGCTATGATGGTAGTAAGATCGAGACGCGAGATCGTCGATCTTGGTCCAGATGCCGGCTTCGAGACACGCGCGAGACACGGATTGGCGAAACGAAAAGAGTTAGAGAGAAAGAGAAAGAACCCTAAGGTGTTGCAGAAGAGAGAAAAAGACAAAAAGGGAACATAAGGAAAAAACCGTGTGTATGTGTCGTTTATACAGGTCGCCCGTAAATTGGCCATGGTTGAGGCCGATCTAGAACGTGCCGAGGAACGTGCCGAAGCTGGAGAGTCGTAAGCATCTGTTTTTCAAAGAAAAAAATCGAATACTCACACCCTTTTTTTTGCATTAACATTGCCTTTTTTTCAAGCGTGTGTCAACGATCGCCAATTTGTCATATCCTCTTATTTTTAGTTGTGTTTTATCACATGTACGTACCCATAGGGTTGTACAGTTTACTATATGTATACACGCAGAGACATTGTTCATACGTGTTCATGATGATTAATGATATGTAATCACGCGTGAAAGTGTCTAACTTTTAACATGTTAATTGGTTTGTTTGTTTGATTGTTGTTTCTTGATTTTTTTTTTTATTAGGAAGAGTTTTGAAGAGTTTAATCGATTGGAGGAAGTTACAAGTTGATTCGTAATCAATTGCGATTGGCGTCACGGATCGATCGTATATTTTGATCGAAATGTGTTGCTTTTAAAAGAGAAATCTCATTATATAAAATTAATTTTTTAATAAAGATGAAAGAGGAGAATTTAAACAAATAAAAAATATAATGATTTTTGATATTTATAATTAAGATTTCTCTTTGAATTGATAAATCTAAGAGAATGGAAAGTAACAATTTAATTTGTATATATTATTATCTTTTTGTACTTCGTACGATTCAATTGAATTCCATTTTCTCAGATAAAGACATTTTTTTAAGAAAGTTTGAGCAAGATTTAAGTCACGATCAAGCCTGGTGGACCAATGGAAAGAAGAAGACCGGATGATTTGCATGCGTTTACGATATACTTTTTGTTTTCTTGTATTTTACTTGAATTTTCTTTCTATTTTTTTTTGTTCGTCTCTTTTTCTTTTTTTTCTTTCTTTCTTTTTTTTTTTAATTCTTATCCTTGCTTTCTCGCATGACACGTGTGGCTGTTGATCACAGGTTGCCAGAAAACTAGTCATGATGGAACAAGATCTTGAGCGCGCCGAGGAGAAGGCGGAACTTTCGGAAGGGTAAGTAGTTTGTGCATGTGTTATTTGTTCACTTTTTTTTACTCCTTTTCTTCAACTTAAGCCAACAAAAGCTTGTTTAATAAGGATGAATGTACTGGTCGATAAGAAATCAATATAAAATTTTAATATCATTGAACAATTAAATTCTAATTGTATAATTTATCATATAGAATATTTCAAATTATTTTAAATAGACAAGTAAATTGAAAAGTAGACAATGTAATTGCGTCCAAAGATATTTTGCATACTTTGATACATTCTATAAAAATGAAAGTTCTTTATTTTAAAATAAAGTTGAAAATTGGAAGTCGTAATAAATACTTTGAATTTCAAAGAATTCTAAGAGAAATTTGTGAATTGATTTATCGTTAATTTAAGTATGTCTTTGTTCTGTCATTTTCTTTGAAATATTGGTATCTAGAAAAGAATAGAATATCTTTCAAACAATTTTAAAACTATCTACATTGTACAATAATATTCGAACAATGACCAGCCATTCGTTCACGCTGAAGAAACACCTTTTCAGGTAGGAATCTAATATAAAATCTGGATTTGTAGTAAACGGTTCCGTTCATTTTGCAGGAAGATCGTTGAGCTCGAAGAAGAATTACGCGTAGTTGGCAACAATCTGAAATCCCTTGAGGTCTCCGAAGAGAAGGTAAGTACCGCTAGAAACAAGTCACGACAAATATCTACGAAATATCGAATATATATATCTATTTCACTTTCTCCTTCTTTCAAATTCTTTCCATGTTCGAGCTACATTATATTTTCTACATTTTAATCGATATGTTTCATAATCTTTCATGTATTCATACAAGTATTTGGATATCTGTTTTCTTTTTTATCGAGAAAATTAATCTTATAAATTTACAAATAAAAAAAGATTATTTTATTATTTATTATTATTAATAAATTTTTAAATAATTGTTATCTTTAGTTTATCATTAATTTATACGTTTTAATTAACACAATATCCAAATGCTTATAATTAATAGCGTGTAATTTAAATTTAAATATGTTTCGAATTAGATGATTTCAAATTCACTTTTCATTCTCAAAATATACATTATATAATAACGTATATATAAAATTTATTTATTATTCAAATCGAAAAATGTTAGGTCTAAATTAGCACTTGAATTATTCTTATCGCGCAACAAAACCTCTGCTCCTTGGGAAAAATTACATCCTATGGAACTTATTAGGGAACAAAGAAATCAGCGGAAAAACACATTTTCCGTGTAAAAGAAATATCACGCGATTTCACAGTAAATGAATAAATTCATTGTTTCGAGGTGCAGAGGTTTAATATCGTTTCAAAGAATTCAAAAGATAAAAGATAAAATAGCCGCGATAAAAATGCAAGAGAAAAAAAAAAGAAAACATAATCGCGCGTTCGATGGATCAAAAAAATAAATTTCTATATTGAGATGCATAATGTTCACGTTACTGTATCATAGGCCAACCAGCGTGAAGAGGAGTACAAGAACCAAATTAAGACTCTTACCTCTCGCCTAAAGGAGGTACAGATCCTTTTTGAGAGTATTTTGCATCTAATTATTTTCTTTTTTTTTTTTTTTTTTTTTTTACCAAAGTGTGATTTGTCGTCGCGAGTTTTACTAAACCATTAACTCATTCACGCTCATCCCTCTTTTTTCTCCATTTATGCTATTTTCTAACCTTAACCACCATTTTCTTCTTTTTTTTACTATTCTTTTAATCTTATTTTATTTTTCTTTTTTCACTTTTTAACTTTTTTTTTAATTTTGTAAAGCTAACGTGAAGTCGTTTTTTTCTCTTTTTTTGCGCTTGACTAAAAATAGGCGACACAGAGAGAGGAGACTTTCGTGGGCCAGGTGAAGATATTGGATAGTCAATTGAAAGAGGTAAGTAAAAGATTCAAACCGAAAAAATCAAGGGAAGATGCTCGAGGATTCTCGAGACACAGGATTTTAAACATCGCGAATTTTGTAAATAGAAATTTAAAATCATATCGATTTATATTCTTATCCCATTTTCTTTTATCATTAAATTAGATAATTTTTAATTTCTTTTATATTGTATATATTAAATCCCTTTATTGCTACTTCTCTTTTGATTAGATGCACATTCCTCTTTTATTTTGCACACAACATTCTGCGCTTTCCAAGCTCAATTCATATTTTGATATTTTACATATTACGCATAAGTACGAACAAAACAATCAATCATAAATCAATCAATTCTTCCTGATAAACAACAAATGGCCGAATTTCTATCAAGGTATGAATGTTTTTTGATGTTCAGCCGTTATTAAAAATAGAAAAAAGAATATTATTGAAATTAATAACGTGTGCAGTTAACTAACTAGTTTTTTTTTTTTTTTTTTTGCTAAGTTTTTATTGAAATTAAGAAAATTTGAAAAGCATGGAGTGAAGTATTACTAATAAAAACAAAATGATATTATCACGAATCCGTCGATTTTAAAAAAAAAACATAAAAATAATAAATTTATCTCGCTATATTTTCTCCAATATATTATATTTATTAATCGTGCTATTTGATAAATTTAATGTTATGTAATATATGCGTAATACGTTCCTTTGTAAATTATTGCTAATGGCGCATGCACGGAAGTTTTGTAGATAGACACAGAGAAATTTTAAAATCGACGACAAATCACGTGAAAGTGATGTAGCGCGAATACTCATTCGTTTTTCTTATTATCACAGGCTGAAGCTCGTGCCGAGTTCGCGGAAAGATCGGTGCAGAAGTTGCAGAAGGAGGTCGACAGGCTCGAAGGTGCGTATTCATCAGGCATTTATATTTTCGTTTCGCGTGATTATAGTCAATTTTTCGTTCTCGAGACTTTTACTTTCTCGAACGGCCCATTATATTCTTTCATCTCTACAAATAGCGTATGGAGAATTATTTTATTTTCCTGATACTTTAGTTATATTACTTTCTAGCGTTAGAGATTACGTTCTTTGTTAGAATAAGAAAGAGAGAGAGAACTACAAATCGGATACGTTAATAGTCGAAGGGAGCAGAGTAAGATAGTATAAATTATAGTCTTAATTATATTCGTAATAACTTGTTAGGGATTTATTAACCAATAACATTGCTTATTTCCAAATTGACTAAATATCCCAGTTTGTTGGAGTGCATTCAATAATTAATAGAAATGCAAACGACAGTCATTTGGAGTTTGTAGATAGGAGAATTTAATAAAGTACATTTTATTTAATGAAAATCTTCGTTTTAAATATAGTAATATTATTAAAAAAAAATAATAAGAAAAATTAATTAAAAGAAGAAATATTATTCTTTTTATAATTATTCTTCTGTGATTTGATATTTGTGACTTGTTTTTCTAATTCTGTTACATACATATATAATATACTAAAAAATTGATTATAAGAAAACAATTCTATTAATGGATATACTTCATTTAATAAATCGATCGATTTTTCTCCATCTAAGAAATAATTATGGCTGTCGTATGCTCTAAAAAATAAGAAAAATACTGTCACGTGTTTGCCGATTTTTATACTAACGTCGACGATGACGACGATCTTAAATAACAATGACGTAATATGGTCGTGTCTCGTCGTCTCGTGTGAAGTATGCATTTGCTCAATGACCGACATGTTTCCTTTCTAACTTTCTACAATCCCTTGAGCGTATTTCCACGATCGAGGAAATCGCTTCGCGTCCACTTCGTGTCTTGGTGTGCGTGTGCAGCCACCCTCTAACCGGTGATCTTTCCAGACGACCTTGCCGCCGAGAGAGAGAAAAACAAATTGCTGCAGGAGGAGATGGAGGCCACCCTGCATGACATCCAGAACATGTAGATCATGTCTCGCGGCTGACAGAAAGACGAGAGAGAAAGAGAGAGAGAGAGAGAGAATAGATATAGTAACAAAAAAAAGAAACAAAACAGAAACGTTCAAACAAAAGCATATGTTGATACTAGGGATACGATTCCTTTGAAATTAAAGGAACAAACAGAAATAAATAAAATAAAAACACGTATTCGAAAGGGATGAGGGAAGCGGAGAATGAAATGAATGAAATCGAATTAAACGTGGAAAGTTAAAAAAAAAAAAACAAGAGAAGGGGGATGAAAAATATGAAAAAAGAAAAATAATCGTTGAAAAAGTAAAGTACACGCTGTGCGATGTGAGCGCTTTTGTGTGTGGTGCACACTATCAACGTTTACGAAACGATAAGAAAAGAAGAATGAACAAAAAAAAAAAGAAAAAAGTTTCATGCAGTCTCTTTTAGGCTAGATTCACACATCTACCATTGTAAACGCCCATCTCAAACAAACGCCCCGGTTATGCAATTCTTTTTTCGTGTGTGTACGTGTGATTCATGCATGTGTGTTATTTGCTGCTGTTGTTGTCGCTATTGTTGCGTGTACGTGTGTTCTACGCGCGCGAGAAATCGAGGGAAACCAGACATATAGGTAAAAAAAAAAGAAGAAACGATGGATATTCCAGTATAAAGTGTAAAGTATAAAAAAGAGATAGAGCGTGCGGTTTGTCAAAGGGATTTGAAGTTATTTCCCTTTTTTAATCCGTTCCTTTTCTTTTTTTCTTTTTTTGAAGTTTTTTGTCTGTTTGTTGTCCAAAGAACTTGACTGTTTTCTTTTTTTTTTTTCTTTTTTAACTCTGTGTTGTCACAAGGAATGTTTTAGTTCAATCGATTTGATCATTAACAAATGCTAATAATTTCTAATGCGATCCCTAAAACCGTTTCAACAAACGACAAATACTGTAAAAAAAAATCGTGAATAGGAGACAAAGAATAATTGAAAAAGGCAATCGATCAAAGTGTAATGGAATACGTTGAGGAAGAATTTTCAATTCAATTCAGTCTGCCAAGTATTTTTTCCTACTTACGTCCTGCTTATCGCGTTTCATAGTCTCGGGCAAAATTCGATCTTTTATGGTTCATATTCGGTCCAATTCGAATCACAATCCGTGATTATATCATTCTATATCTTGAATTAATGTTTCATCGAAAATATAATTCTTCTACATCATAATTATTATTATTATTTTTAATGAAATTGAATTAATTGATTCTTTATTAGCATAATAAAATTAAGAAGTGAGATTCTTTGTAATAAAATATAAAGAATATAAATCTACACTAAAATTAATGAAATAGAAAATTAATATCTGAGAATATCTCGGATATTAAAATTCAATGATAATCATAATTAAAGATTTCAATATAAATATATTGGAATATTCTCACAAGGAATGTTTGATTAAGATTTGACTTAAATAAGCAAATTCTTCCTTAACGTAGAACCAACGTTGTCGATATAAAAAGGATGAACAGAAAAAAATTGTTCGTCATTTTTCGTCATTTACATTCCATATTACCTATGGTTCAGCGTGAAAAAAAATATTCTTGGCCTTCTTCCATGTTCGTTCGCGCACTGGTGATACAACTTTAAAGGCTTTTAAGAGACGCTCACTGCCAGCCAAGTGATTCCTTTTGAGGGACAAATTCGATATTAAACTCATGTTTGCGCGTGATTCATTTAAAAAAAAAACCATTATTATCGTAACTAGTTAAAATTTAGAATTTAGCGAGACAAGTGTGTTGTAGAAATGAGATCTATAGAAATTTTTTGTATTTTTGTATTTTACAGTCGTAAGATTTTTAGCGTATACGATAAATAGGCGATTTCAAAACATAATTCCAATAAAAAGAAGGAGATTCTTTGTGAATAATTAACAAACGTAAAATAAAAATCTTCTCTTTAAAGAATTTTATTCTACGTCTTGTAGAATTTTATTTTTTTCCAAAGTATAGCCTTCTTTAATTCTTTTTATCACGTATTTCCAAGCACAACGCGATTAAAAATATGAAGACATCATTCAAGGAAACGATCTACGAGATTCGATTCATACAAATTGTAGATATTGTAATCTCGAAATCTTTCTCGTCACAAAAAGGGTGCATCTTGCAATTTTATGCAACAATTATTTGCAAGAAACGGATAAACGAGAGATACATTCGAAAATCATGTGTTCTATTTCACGCTGAACCATTCGATGTTTACCGATCGTGCCTGGATTAATTTGTTATATTAACGGTTATTGCCTGGTCACTCGCAAATTTCGATTCATTGAATAATTAAAAAAGAAAAAAAAAAGAAGGGAAAAAGAAAAGAAAGGGAAAATGAAATGAGAAAATTTCTATTTCGCATACTTCACTTTGCAATCGTTCATCTTTGCTGTTAATAAATACCGTTGCTACATCGTATTACGTTTTTATCCCTAATCTAAGGATATATTACCGTGATTCCACATTAAACTTTTGAGAATCATGAAGAATACTGCCTATCTACGTATTTAATTCCTTTGGTTATTCTCGTTGTAGTTTTTCCGTGACGAGACCTCTTTGGATGTTTTTTTTTTTCTCTCTCTTTTTTTAGAGATGAATCTTGAAAGTTTCAACTTTGCAGAAACATTCGAAGAACGTGTATTTCTGTGCAATAGTTATAGATTTTGTATAGCTTGATCGAAGTACACTTGTACTGAGATATCCTTTTATGAAATTTTTGTATATCCACTTTGATTTGTTGGAATATTTTAGGTTCGAATAACTTTCGTTTAGATGTTAAAATTTCGAGAAAACGTCCGAAGAGAATAATAACGCGTTTTGCGACACGAAAACGTCACGAGTATTTCATAGAGAAAATGTTAATAAGAGAGTGTGTGAGAAACAGAGTAAGCATGATAATGAAGAAACGAAGAAAGCACAATAATTACAATTCCACATGTCCTACCGTTAACGATAATGAAATTTTTTTTGTTATTCCCGTTTTTTTTCGAGAAAATGCCAACAGAGTGAAAGGACAAGAAAGATAGAGAATGAATGAATGAATGAGTGAGAGAGAAATAAAAGTGCATAAAAAAGGAAACGCAGATACTTCAGTTCATACTTGAGAGTTTTAGTTTATTAATTTACTTAATATTAATAAAAAAAAAACGAATGGAATGATAATAACACTAATATCATTGTAATAATGATTATTATATATATATTGCTATTATTATAAAACTGTTTGTAATATATATTTTAATTTTGAAAAAACAGCGTGTCGTTTGTTTTTGTGTACGTTTGTCTAACTGTATTTTCCTTTTTTTTTTTTTTTTTTTTAAATTTCGTATCTTTTTCATTCTCCGTCAAAGTTTTATCCCTGATTTCTTAACAAAAAACAAATACTGACTATCTACTGTGTGTACAACGCGATATAACACACAATGCTGCCCATTGTGTTAGCTGTGCATAATTGTTGCATGCCATACACAAAGGAAAGTCGATCTATCAATGGTACGTATCCAAATAATTCTGGTGAGTAAATTTGTTTTTATCTTCTAGTTTTATTTGCTAGTTTTACAATGATTTGTCCTTTATCCAGCATGATCCATCCTTTTTCTTATTTTTAATCTATCGATTATTTATACAGAAGATATTTTAAATGATATATGTATAATGAGCCGTCTTAGCAGTATCTAAAATAGATAAACGAAATTTCTTTTCAAATTAGAATCGTATGATTCAGAGATAATACGTAACTTGATTCTTGTCTGGGCCATCAAAAGTAATCTTAAGAAAAAATTTCTATAGCGCCGTATTAATCACTTTTGGATCTGTGCGATTTTAAAATATTAATCAATTTCTTGTATTTTTTAAAATAATTTATTCTCTTATTCTTAGAATATTCTGAATTTTAAAAATAATCTTTCTTACTATAATTTTAAAATGATAGAATTACATTTTTTATAATTTCATAGTTTAACTTCAATAACATACTTCATTCATTACATCAGCATCATAAATCGTAACTCAAACTATATACATTTCTCAAATACAAGTCTCATTCATCTCTACTAAAACATTCAATCTATTTCAAACTTCGCTTCCTGTCCAATGCCAACCAACGCTTTACAGCTCTTTAACAATTTAATAGTTTAACTCTTAATTTCTTAGAGCTATCGATCTATTCGAACATAACTACTAATAAGGGCAGATATCGAGAAGGATGCGAATACGAACATTCTTCGAAATAACATTGCGAATACTTGCAGATGAAATGGTAGCTGAGAAGGAGAAATACAAGGAGATCGGAGATGGATTGGATCAGGCGTTCCAAGAACTCTATGGCGTCTAACGAGCCACTAACCAACCCCTCTAACGCTTCGACCAAATAAATAAAAATATATATATTCATATATATGCCATCAAATATCATAAATCACTTTTCTCACAATCTCGCTTGCTCTTAACATGTAATCCGTAAGTTACTTCTCGAGCTTTTTAACCAGCTTAACTAACGATCATCGAACCTCTAATTTCTCATAAATTTGCATTTTTTCGCGAGAATCTTCAATATCTGAAACAATGGGAATATTGAGAAATATTATTTAAGGGCGTATTTTAGCGTATAAATCCTGAATATCACTTTTTTATTTTAACTCTTTGCTTAATTGTATTCTTATTATTTTTATTATTTATCTGATAATTTATATAATATTTTTACCTGATAATTCTTTAAGAATTGATAGTAAAGAATCAAGCAAAGAGTTGAGAATTAAATGTTTTGTTCTCGAAAATCATTTTTTATTGGCATCAATCTTCGTAAAGATAATATTTTTCAATTATGTACACATAATGGTAATGGAGGGATTTTTATTTTCTAGGATTCAAATTATCTTCTATATTTGTATTAATTATTAAGTCGTATGGTTTATTGACGAAAACACTTTTCTTTCAGACGAGCTCGTACACGAGAAGGAAAAGTACAAATACATCTGCGACGATCTGGACCTCACCTTTACCGAGTTGATCGAGAAGAATTAATTAATAATCAGTGCTCCTATGTGTTCATCAACTGTGTCCAAATAATTGGCCGGGCTTGTGTATCTACGAACACGAGCGGATACGTTATCATGGTCATTTTGTGAAACCAGCCAATTCGCTTATATTATTATTATTATTATTATTATTATATTCAAATTTGCATTGTTGCATCTAAAACATATACGTTCCGCGTTCCTTCACGTTCGATTCCTTTTTTTTTTTTGCTTCCTTTTTGATTCGATTAATGACTTTATTCTCAGGTTTATATTTATCCCTTATTCTTTTTTTCTATTTTTTCCTGCTTTTCTTTTTTGTAAATCGTTCGACGATCCTATATTCTAAATAAAAATTAGTCGAATCACTCATTCACATTGCGATTTCGCGATAAAACGTATTTGGTAAGTACTCATTTTCGATGATACGCGATTTTCTTTATTCGCTGCGAAACGTTGACATCGATCCTTGTAACTAGGCAATCAGGCAAATAAAATTTTAGCCTTAAAGCTAGTGTCTTCTTTCATTGTCAATTATTATACTATTATAAACTATATTCTAAGAACACTAACTATGAGTTTCAATAAAGATATATAAATTACACGTATTTATTATTTCTTGAACCTTTTATATTAAATTCTATCTTTTCTAAATTTTCATTTGTTAAATATACTAATCTACTAACCAATCTAAAAATAATTCTAATTTAATATTCAATCTAAAACCATCCAATTTGATCTTAATCTTTAAGAATAATTTTTACCATTATTACATAATGATAAGTAAATTAGTATAATTCATTTATAAGTTATCCTTGAAGAAAATATGACAAACCTACTATTCCCACGTTATTAAATTAATGTGAAAAGACAGATGAGCAAATCCCCTATTGAATTGTAATAACACACTTTCTCTCTCTCTCTCTTTCTAACAAAATAATAAAGATATCCAACTAACCTAGGATCTAACATCCGTAACCCTCCCTTTTGCATTGCAGACGTGGTGGTAAACGAGCGCTGTAAGTACAAAGCGATCGCCGACGAGATGGATCAGACGTTCGCCGACCTGGCCGGATATTAGCAGGCGGACTAATTCTCAGACAACAAACGTGTGTATACCAAAACACGTGCACACGCGCGCGCATATATACTTCTGAATACATGTATCATTTTAATGAGAAAGGGAAACAAATATGAAATGAGATCACGCTACACTTTAAAGAAACACTGCCAGCACGCAGATCCTTCGACGCACGACGCCCAAAGACTTCGATTTCTCAGTGGACGAAGAGGACGCGACATAAGGCGTTTTCTACAGATCTACACAGCCTAAGATGCTCGATGGATTTATGGAAAGAATAAGTTTTTTAATTGTTTGTTGTTTTTTTCCAATGATTAATTTATCTTGCAGATTTTGGTCGAAGAGATGATCTGAATTTTGAAAGAGTAGCTTTTGTTAAAGGAAATTAAAGAAGAAGCGTTAAAAATAGAAATTTTATGATAAAATTTAGATTTAGGTTTATTAAATTTTGTAACGAATGATGAACATATAGAATGTTAGTTTTTTTATATGGAAAAAACAGTTTTAGAATTTTGTTTAATAGACAGAAGATTAGAATCTCTGTTCAAACGAAGAAAATATTTTTAAAATATTTTTTAGAAGAAGAATGGAGGATTAGAATCTCTGTTTAGATAAAGAAAAAATTTTTAGAATTTTCTTTAAAAAAGAATTAGCTTTTACATTTGTAAAAATAGATTTATTATAAAATAAGAATATTTTTTATTTATTATAATAACCAAACATAAAAAAAAAAAGACTTTTTATTGAAATATTTTTGAACTATAAACTCAATATGCGATATATCGTTTAGTAATAGAAATTAATATTCAAGTTAGAGAATACTTGAACTGATTTCTTCCCTTTCGTTTCTTTTTTTACTACATTTATAAAACTTCCATTCTTCTTTAAATTCATATATTTCATCATTATTTATAACATTAAAATAAATACCATTCATTTAATCTATCAGATTAATAAAAAAATAGTACTTTATCAATTATTATAAATTATTTATATTTTATCTATATTTTATCTATATATAATATTTATATCGAACCTCTATAGCTGTGTAGGCGTTCTTTCACCCAGTTTACCCCTTTTAACTTCGATTCTTATTCACATACACTCTCATGTACAATTCTTTACTCATCAGCAATGCAATTTAATCGCGAAATTCAGCTTGTGCAACCAGATTAATAATTCCTCATCTCGTGTAACCGTTATTAGGTTTACCGTGAATGAAAAACGGCTTTACTTCGTGCCAAGAAATGACACTAGCCATCTAATCAGAATATTGGTGCAGAAAGATAATCAATGTTCGATACTTAACAAAATAAAAATGTAAAAAAAGGAAAAATGTGAAAGAGAAAAAAATTAAAACATTTAGCCAAGCGCAAAAAATAATTAGCGGATTTTTAGAAAAAATATTTTTCTTCGTCAAATAATATAGCCAAATCGCGTTAGAAATGATAAGAATAAAAGTCTGATAATTGGATTGCGGATGTTTATGCATTTATGTTGAAATTTAAATGTGTGAAAAAAATATATAATTCATACAATAAATATTCAAATCAAACATCCAAAACAAAAAAATATTTAGGAAGTGGAATAAATCTCAATTTACATTCCATTTCATTAATTGTGTTCACAAAAGTATTAATTTACATAAATATCCGCATCTTTGGAGTTCAATAAGAATGGCCACATCGAATATTCTAGCTGATCTAGATATAAAAAAATTTTCTGCGATTTTGTAAATTGTGTTCTGATGACATTTATGACAAAAGAACAAACTTTGGTTTCGTTCTTTCAACGATGTGGTCTATCGATTGAAACAATCTGTCCATTTGACAATGTCTCAAGGCCATTATATAAAGTAATCCCTGTCACATTCTAATCACGACGATGTAACTTGAAATTCCTTTTTCAATGAAGCTTTGTAATTAAGAATTTTAATGGAAAAATGATAAAAATGCATTTTTTCTAAATTTCTGGCCTTAATTGATAATATCCTTGCTTCTAATTCATATTAAATTTTCATAATATAAAAGAATTGTATTTTTAATCAGAAATGGTCTTGAACGTTCGATAAATTTTGGATAGAGTCTAATTTTAAATAGATAGAGTCTAATTTTAATTTTAAATTCGTTACGAATAATTATTAACAAGTGCTTTTTTGCTTTCCTATTTCGTAATATTGCAAAACTGCCGCGTATTTTGTTTAATGCAAATAGTTCTTATAATTAAAAATATTTCGCTTTAAAAAATAATAATTTAAAATAAATAAATAAAAAAAAAATCGTACTATTTTGTTTTAAAGAATTTACGCGTGTCTATCTTTTAAATATTCGGAAATTTTTCTATTTACATCGATGTATAAATTTTCATATTTCTAAATTAAATTAAATTTTGAAAAAATATTTCTTACTTTCACATTTTTAGTTTAAAACATTAGAAAAAAAACCCCGCAGTTAAAGAATAAAGAATAAGAAAATAAAAAAGGATATTAAAGTTAATTGAAATTAAGAAACGAATTTAAGTTTATTTTAACATTTTTTAACATTAATTTCTTCAAATTTCTCAGAAATTTAAAAAAAAATAAGGAAACATTAAAATATAATTGTAAGCTTCGGAACGAGCTTATAACGCAAATTTTTTTGAATAATTGTTTATAAATATAAAAATTTATATCTGTATTTCTTCGTACAATTATTAATCACTTCTGCGCTAAATTTTTTTAAAGATTCGACCATTGAATAAAATTTTGCCCAAAATCTCTCATATGGACACAATTTAGAACTCGAGAAGATGCACTTATTGCGAGATATCGATCTTATCAAATCGTTATCCTTTTACTGTACTTATATCACTTTCAATAAATGTGCATTTTTTATACTTGAACATCGTCTTCCTTTATTTGTCTTAATTATTAAAATCATAAGAATCATAAGCGTTGCTAGTCTAAATATAAACTTAAATAATTATTAAATAATTATAAAAATATATGAAATACATTTATTACATAAATATCAGAATCATCTATTGGGTGTAAAATTTTGCAAATCAGAAATATACAAGAAGAATAAATAAAGGAAGAAGGATAAAGATACGATGAAAATTGTAAAACGAATGCCGCATGTAAAACTATATAAATACGAATTACAACTAATGAAAAAACAATTGAAATGGGATAATATCATTGACTATCAGCGCCATCTCTGGATGGTTTAAGATATATAAAGAATTGTAAAATACGGCAATAATTTACTATTAGCGTCATCTTTCGAACAAATGAAAAAAGGATTGAAATGGGATAACAATTGACTATCAGCGCCATCTCCGAATGACTTAAGATATATAAAGAATTGTAAAATATGACAATAATTTACTACTAGCGTT